GCGCGTTGAGTAGCTATACTACTGTGGATGGGCCAGCGAAATCCGATAAACCACCAAACGGATGGTTGAAACATGTTGAAACCCTATAAATAATGGGATTTTGCCCACCGTTTTCAACTGGTGCAGGATTTAGCAACCATCCACAGTAGTATGTTTACTTGGTGGCTCATCCCACTGAGTTTTTGTATGTTTTTGTGGGATATAAGTTCAGCCCAGTTTTTTTGAGTGGATTAACCCTACTTAAGCTACGTCATTTAAGTGGGATGAGCCACCAAGTACCTATGTTTATAGTTGTTTTCAGGTGTTCAGAGGATCTAAGTAGATTCCATGTTGGATTTATGGTGATGAGACAACTATAGTTCGGGGCAACATCCACAAGTATAAAATCGAAGTTGGGCACACTACCGAGAGTTGGGTAGATCCCTGAGAGTGGCCGAACTTTTGAGGTCAACGCACTATCATCATTTTCCCAGATGGTTTGTTTAAACCATGTGGAGGCTTCTTAAAATGGAGGGATTCCAAAGTTCCAAAGTCACGTCATGCGTAGGAAAATATTCAGTCATGGTCATACATGGCTGAGAACTGGGGGTACCTCTTGGTCCATTTTACATGCTTTTCTGGTTGGTGGTTTCAAACATGGCTGGATTATTGTCCATTTCATATATGGATATATATATATGGGATGTCATCCTTCCCATTGACGAACTCCATCATTTTTCAAGATGGTTAAGTCACCACCAACCAGTTTTTTTTTCTGCAGGGTTGACCCTCCATTTTTTGGGCTTGATCATGTTGACCCTACCGAGTTGCAGGCTTCTTTCTTTATTTGTTGGGAGAGTTCACCCCCTCTGGTAAACTAACAGTTTGCGAACTGGAAAATTACTATTTTCATAGGTAAATCAACTCTTTTTTGGGACCATTTTCTAGAAAGCCATGTTAGTTTACCAGAGTTTAACCATCAACAAATGGTGGTTTCCATAGTCATGGGGGATCCCCAAGTTCGCGAAAGGATGGTTTATTTCATGGAAAATCCTATTGATATGGATGATTTGGAGGTACCACCATTTTATGAAACCTCCATATATATATACATATATATATATACCACTTATAACTGGAACTGCACTTCCAACTTAGGTGTTTCGTGCCCTTCCAGATCAGTTCCAAGTAGCTTTTTATACTGCTCAGATATGTGGAGATCAGTAGGAATCCCGGCCAGCAATATCAAACCTGGTTGGTGACTGGAACATGGCTGGATTATGACTTTCCAGAAACAGTTGGGAATGGAATGTCATCATCCCAACTGACTTTCACTCCATCATTTTTCAGAGGGGTAGGCGAAAAACCACCAACCAGAAACTTTCCACTCTTGGTGAACCTTTGGTAACATGGCAATGAAAACCATAGAAAATTGACTTGGGAACGCGGGATGCCTTCCGGTAAACTAACTGATATTGAAAATCCACGCTGAATGTAGATAATTTTAATTTCCAAATCTATAGATTTGTGATGTTCCGTCACCAGGTTGAATTACTGGAGGCTATGGTCCAATGGTTGTGTTGACTGCGTAGCTGCCGAGATTGGAGCGAGTGGTGCTTTCCGGTCTTGGGATCGGTCTTCCTCCTCAACATTACCCTCCTCAAACTTCATCCTCTTCCTCCTCAACATCCACATCATAATCTTCCTCATCATCCTCATCATCATCATCAGCAGCAGCATAATCATCATCATCATCATCATCAACATTAACACCGTCACCAACATTATAATACATTTTTTTACTCCCCCCACACTGTTTGGGGTCTCTTGCCAGTTTTTTCCACAAAAACTTGTACATGTTCCTAAGATTTCCATATGTGTCGCTAAGATGTTCATAGATGGCCTTCAATGCCCCTACATGTCCCTAAGGTTTCCATACATGTCGCTTCGTTGTTCATACATTTCACTAAGATTTCCATACATTTCACTACAGGATGGAGACCCAGTTTGTTAGCTAAGTAGGGCAATGTAACATAATGTAATCATAAAAACAAGTTCGTCTATGATACCTATAAATTTGTTTAAATATATTTAGATTTTTCGGTATCATAAACAATAGATGCTATAGTTACACAATAGTTACAATATTCTGAATAAAAGATACTTATAAAACAATAGTGGGTTATAAATCAACAAAAATCACGTTTGGGGGACCGATCGATTCCGGCGTTTGTTTGTTTCTTCGCTACTCGCCGCTAGGCGGCCAGTCGCGCGAGTTGCAAGGTGGTTTTTCTGGCGGTTAAACCGCGGCCGTGAGTGAAAATCCACGATATCTTTGTGGCGGAAATAACTCGGGTTTGTGGTAGATATAACGAACTAGATAACGAACTAGTATTCATGTGGTTTTTAAGCCAACTTATAATCTATAATCGCATTGTTATACAAAGTGGGCCCCCTAGATAGTTAAACAGTTGGTTTATACCTCCAATAACTAGGGTTTATGGGGAATATGACTAGATTTAACGGATGTTAAATCAATGGGAATTCCAGGATCCCAAAATGGAGGTACGTTAGTCTCATATAATTAATGCCATATAAATTGGGGCTATCCCATGAAATTGAGCCGTACAAAAATAGGCCTTCTATATGGTAGGGACCTCCAATAGATCGGCTCCTGGAATGGCCATTGATATAACATCCCCAACCTTGAAACCTTGGGTGATAATGGGTGCTAATATTGCTTGATAATACTTACAGTAGTAGATAATAGTTGTTTATATATGGAACATGGTTGATAAGGATAATCGTGGATGGTAATGATTGCAATTGTCGATACTAATGATAACTAATTACACAGAACTTATGCTAACATTGGTTACTTACAGTAGATAATAGTGGTTTATAATTGTTGATTTTTAAAGTAATGATAATGGTTTGTAATGATTAATACTAGCTAAAACATCCCGCCGGATCGAAAACCGTGCTCATGAAAATAGAGTTTTGCAACAAAATGTGTGTTTTGCCACAGCGAGGCAACCATTTGTGTCACTTGAAAAGTGGCAAATTTGGACGTCCAAATTTGGGTGTTTTTTTTGGGAAATTGTGTTTTCGCTACAGTAAAACGTGATTTTCTTGGCTATTTCCATCGGACCAATTCAGGCATCTTTTTCACTCGATCTTTCGCAACATCTCTGCAGTCTTCTCAAGCAGCTTCTTGTACTTGTTGATGAATCTCCATTGCCACATTTTGGCATATAACATGACATCTTTGTGCCTGGCACCCAAAGAGTTGGGGATGAATTGTTTGCAGCTGGTCCACACAGCATCAATCGTGCCTGTATGGCATTTGATGGTGGAGCCGCCGCGCTGGACATCCTTCACAAATTCGCAGCGTAGCAACATGCAACGTAGCAAGGATACCAGAGATCTCTGCAGCGTAGCAACATGTAACGTAGCAAGGATACCAGAGATCTCTGCAGCGTAGCAAAATGTAACGTAGCAAGGATACCAGAGGAGATCTCTGCAGCGTAGCAACATGTAACGTAGCAAGGATACCAGAGGAGATCTCTGCAGCGTAGCAACATGTAACGTAGCAAGGATACCAGAGATCTCTGCAGTGAGCAACATGTAACGTAGCAAGGATACCAGAGATCTCTGCAGCGTAGCAACATGTAACGTAGCAAGGATACCACAGGAGATCTCTGCAGCGTAGCAACATGTAACGCAGCAAGGATACCAGAGGAGATCTCTGCAGCGTAGCAACATGTAACGTAGCAAGGATACCAGAGAAGATCTCTGCAGCGTAGCAACATGTAACGTAGCAAGGATACCAGAGATCTCTGCAGCGTAGCAACATGTAACGTAGCAAGGATACCAGAGATCCCTGCAGCGTAGCAACATGTAACGTAGCAAGGATACCAGAGGAGATCTCTGCAGCGTAGCAACATGTAACGTAGCAAGGATACCAGAGGAGATCTCTGCAGCGTAGCAACATGTAACGTAGCAAGGATACCACAGAGATCTCTGCAACATAGCAACATCTAATGTACGCACTAGAAAGAACGTTAACATGAATGCCCACCCCACCCCACCCCAACATAACCTCCGACCCCGTGTTTGCAAAAACTTACGTTTTACGAGCACGGTTTGCGGTCCGTAGGCTAAAACATGTTGGGTGCAGTTCACTGGGTCAAGCACCAAGCCACAATCGACTGGACAAGTAGTTTAATCCTTCAGTTGTTTTGCTATAAATGGAAAGTAAGCCCCATAATCAGCAAAAAAAACGTGGACTACGAAAGATTGACGATAATAAATGGATGGTTTTAATGGGACAATCAGCGATCAATGGATGGTTTTAATGGAAAAGAATCAAAGCACAAAGTGGGGCCACCCAGTTACAAGTTGGTTTTAATCCACCATTAACTACAGTTATACCTACCTTAAACCATAGTTGACCATAGTTGACCCAGCTATAAACCAACTTAGCTATCTAAAGGGCCCCACCTTGTACTCGCACGTATAAATGGGGAATTGTCCATTGCGATGTTTGATTAGCGAAGGGTAAACCTGCAAATGAAATGTGCAGTCGGAAGGGTTTCTTGCAGAGGGGCACATTCCGCATCTTCAGATGGTTAGGGTGTGGTCAAAAGTTGACTGGTATACTAGTATACACATGTTTGGGGATAGGATAGGGATAGCCCTATGAACTTCATGCACAGGGGAAAAGGGTCTGGTCATTGAGCAGGTCCCTGAAGCTGCAGTGGTGCTGGAACTGAAAGTGAGCCACAGATTTCGCATATGTAATATAGTGCTGGCATGCTGGAACTGAAAGTGAGCCGCAGAGATTTCGGGATGCTCCTTGGCTTCGTGCAGTTTCGAACGGGAATCTGTCACAGAATCTGTGGGTGGCTAAAGAATTGGAAGAAGGTGCTGACAGGTCAGTCACTCAAGGCGAGTTCCTTCTGGCATTTGGCCATTTTGGAGGAGTGTGAAGTGCCAGCCTGAGGGTGTGTCTGCGGCAGGTGTTGAGTTTGCAGATGACGCGCCGAAAGTGCTTCACGTCACCCATGTGTGGAATATGTCGCACATTGGGCAGAGCCGGGAAAACGTTGTTGCAGCTTTTGAAGAAGAAGTGGCAGCAGCGCAAGGGGTGCACAAGCAACGGCGACCAACCTCCCCTGGTTGACGAGCCACGGGAAGAAGCGGTCCATGGCCGATTTGCACAATGATTGGTGCAGGAGCGCAAAGAAGATTTGTTCTGGATTGGGCGGCGCATTTGAGGACATGCCTGCGGATAACGCTGCAGCTGCTGGTGGCGCCTGATGGGGTAAAGTAGCCGGCTGTTGCGGAAACGTAGGCTTGTGGCATGTTCGGTGGAGGAAACATTTGCCTGCATGTTGCTGATCTTATTCCAATCTGTGCCAAAAAAAAGACGTTGCCTTTTCACAGGTAAACGCAACCTGTTTGTCTCCCGTCCCATTTAGTCCGCAAAACATTGCCTTTTCACAGTGTAATTTTACAGGTACATGCAACCTGTGTGTCTTCAGTCCCACGTTTTTTTTTCGATTCCCTAATTCGGATTCCCTAATTCGCAACTTATTCCAAAGTGTGCAAAACATTGTTTTCACAGGTAAATGCTGCGTATATAATGTGTCCCATGCAATTTTGCTCCTTTTCCCTAATTCACGACCAATAATAGAGTTTGTATACCAAAAGACATGAAAACATCAGAGGGCCAGATGGTACTGTATCAGTACCCATGATTTACCTATATCGCAACATCTTATACATCCGGCAGGCCTGTGCGGCCTCGCGCGACCGGTGCAAGTCTCAGGGTTTCAGGTGGAACAGGATGAGATTAGGGGCATAGAGGACTTAGAGGAAACCCGAAGCCATGGCAAATCAATGTTCAAATTTTCATCCCAAACCGACTGTCATGGAAACTGGTTGGTGGCTTCAAACATTTTTCATTTTCCATAACATATGGGATAATCCTTCCCATTGACTTTTATATTTTTCAAGCTGGTTTTTTAACCATCAACCGGAAAATAACCATAACGAGCATGGTTTTTTGTGGACTACCAAAGATTCGTTGTGAAAATCCCGCTAAGCCATGGGAATCAGTAGTTTTTACACCATGCCGCCATGGGGAATTAGAGGTTCTTCATGAATTTATCCATCCAAAAAGGAGATTTAACCAGCAGAAATGCTGGTTTTTGATGTGGTTATCAGGAATATTGGGAATTTACCCGCTGGCAATTTAACAATTTGTTGGGGAAAATTGCCCGCTTAGTTACTGTAGATGATATCGCCAATTTGAAATGGTGATTTTGCATATCTATATAAAATCCATTCGCAATCTGTATTTTTTTTCCGGGCTCCATCCCCGATATTGAGACAAAACCGTATAAATTACTTACTGGTGCTTAGTAGGGAATGATGGAATGATCCATAATCACTAGTAATAGTAATCCCAGCAATCCCCAGCAACCCATCCATTCCCTACTAAGCACCAGTAAGAAAACTACTGTAGAAATATCGTATCACTGGGCTTGGAAAAAATGATGGACACTCATATTGAATCAACCAGAAACTGCACGTGACTAACAAACTTGTGAGGTATTCAACATACCCCTCTTGATGGGTTAAGGGGCTGACACTAAATTGTTTATTGTGGAAAATGGCAATAGAAATAGTTGATTTTCCCATTAAAAATGGTGATGTTCCATAGTTTTTTGTATGTTTACCAGAGGGTAAATGGTTTATTGTGGATAGGAACACAGCCAATAATAGAACCATTATGGCGTATTTTTCATGGTTCAAATGATGATGTTTACTGTAGTCTTTTCAACGAAGGGTAATGAGGGCAAACTCACTTGAACTTGGGGGGTGCAGTTAAGGTTATTCACTGTATATAATACCCTCTGGTAATTTAACATAGCCATAGAAAATCTCTATTTTTTTAACAGGTAAACCATCTACAAATGCGCAATTTTCCATAGTTTTTTGTATGTTTACCAGAGGGTAACTTAGTTTACTGATTTCTGCATCCTCAAGAATGTTCTCATGATCTCTTGCGGCAGGGCGTCCGCTAGCCCAATCTATGGTTGTTTGTTTTTTGTATTGGCTAAAAAAACCTTGGATGTTTGTATCCCACAATGCTGAGCACCAAGTTTCATCAGCCAGCAAGTGAGCCGCTAGTGATTCCTGTGCAAATTGGGATGATGAATTTCGAAGAGTCCGCATCTCTCCAGGATTTGTTCAGAATTTACTATGGAAACCATGGCCCATGTAGTTGAAACATCTAGCTAGACCCTCCAAGTACCAGAATAGTGACTTCTCCCTATAACGGTTGTCCATTTTTATATATTTACTTGTCCAGATACTGAAAAAATGGGTCTGTTCCAGAGCAAGTTGTGGTGCTTAGAGCTTCAGCACTCACCTTTGCCTTGTTCACTGCTCAAGCCACTAAGAGGATCCGTAAAATCAGCCCACTTACAACTGGACTAAGTCCACTTAGCCTATTGAAATAAGTTATAACCCGCTTAGTAGGATGATCCTCCAAGTAGTGTATGATGATATTGTTTTCCAGTGTTAATGTCTGAGCCTTGAAGTCAGTTGAGCAGTGACCATTAAACCCAAATTCGTCGTCCCCTCACGGGGTCAGCGTCATGAAGAAAAAGGAACCGTTCCACGCTCGGTGAAGTCCCTCGGTTATAAGTTGATTTTGAACCCCCCTGAATGCTAGTTCGTTTTATTTCCCATCAATCTGAGTTGGCCAAGATTAATTTGCGGCAACATAAGGCAACTTAGCTATCGTTTTCAGGGGGCCTCACCTCGCACTTCTATGCGAATGTCCAAGTTAGAGGTATGCTAACGTTGCTGTGACGCCATGGCTTCCGGAATGGCTCGTTCATCGTCAGAAGGCGAGCACGGCACGGCGTTTTGGGAGAGAGAAAGATGGTGATCCTAACATAGCCATGGTCAAGTTGGTTAAAATGGTTGTTTGGAAACCTCGACAGATTCCTGGAGATTTGATGGTTTTTTGTTCAACGATTGGATGAAGATGGATCTACCCATTAGGGGATGGTCATCAATCCATTTTCAGAGGGTTTTTTTAAGCCCATTCTGGTTGCAATTCCAGTATGATGAGCATACCACATCAATCCCATGTTTGACCAGAACACATGTGTTTTTTTCATGTGAGGTTTTTTCCAAATTTTCTGGATCAACCGTGGTCAGAGTCAATGACTAGCAGCATGGAAAGACACTATCCAGTTTAAACCTATGTGTTGAGGGTCAGTATCAAAAGGTCGGCCAGTGATCGGCAGTTGTAGAATCAGAAATTATTTTATCCTCCAGTAATCAAATGTGGAAAATGGAAAAGCACCCATTGATAGATTATTTTCATTTTTAGATACTTTTAGGGGATTTCTCAGCCAGCCATCTGATAATCAACTCCATGACTTGCTGGAAAATCCACCTTGTATAGATGAATTTCTGAATTTCCCATAAACATTCCCATTTATACAGGATGGGCCCCCCTAGTTATCAGCTGGTTTATAGCCCCATTTAAACATATTTAGAAGTATTGTACACCAACTTGTTATTATAGTTACATTGCCCAACTTAGTTATCGAACTGGGGCCCCATCCTGTGATTTTACTTGCCACGTTGGATTATCGGACGGTGTTTGGTTCAGCCTGGATTCGTACAGGATGGGGCCCCAGTTCGTTAGCGTTCAGTTGGTTAATGTTTGTGGCTGAAATCTATGGTCTATGGTAGATATAACTATAGTTAATGGGGGTTGGAATGGTTTATAAACCAACTAGATAAGGTAGATATAGATACTATGATAGTTTATGGTAGATATAGATTTAACTATAGATAACTATTGCTAACTTTCGTAAATAAGGTGCCGGGTTGTATTTAAGGTGTGTCCCCGGAAATAAGGTGCATGCAGTTTGCAAAATGCATCAAATCAAATGTGCGGGGATCCTTGGCTGAAAAATGTTTGCGCAACTAATTTCGAGACACTGCCCCGATTTCTTGTTTTTTTTTTGCATTTCTTTATTGCTGTTTTCAATGTAATTTGCTTTATGTTTTTTGCAGGCAGAAACACCGCGGGCTGCTCAACAAAATACATTCTATGAATCTTAAAAAAGGCCCGCCGGAGGCGCCACTTTTCAGTGGTTGGATCGTCGCCAAAAAGATTGTGTCCACCAATTTTGAAAATATACGCTACACATTTAAACAAAAACAATATATATATATATTGTTTTATTTGTTTTAAGTTTGTTTTATTTATTATTTTGTTATCAGTACTATTTAAAACATGTGTGTTTATTTTCATTGTTTATGTTTATTTTTGTTTTATTTGTTTTTAATATTTTGTTATTTTGTATATATATAATGGTTTTTTGGTTTCATTTGTTTCCTTTATTTTTCATTTTTATTTATTGTTTTTTCATATATATTTTTTTAATTACTATTATCATTATTACTATTATTATTTAAATAATTTTTATTTATTTATGTGTTTTATTTGTTTATATGCTATTTACTATCTATGTGTTATTTGTAGTTTTTATTTCTTTATTTATGTCATTTGTTTGTTATTTTTTGAAATTAGTATTTTTTGATTGTGTTTTTTCATTTGTTTTATTTGTTCCTTATTTTCGCGGAGTTTGTTTAAATGTCCTTATTTCCGATTTTGTCCACGTTAAAAAAAAAAACAATGTTTTCTTTGTGAAAAAACCTAATGGGTTTTTGTTTTTTTTTTTCACGATGATTTTTGGGAAAAAAATGAAATTCAACATGTTAAAAGAAAATAATCGTGGAAACAAATCGAAATTCCTTAAATCAAGGCCAACCATTGAATTTAAGGAACTTTCGCGGAAATAATGAAAAATGAAAAATAAATTTGAAAAAATAAAAAAACAATTATTAAAAATCAATGTAAAAATGAAAAACACACAAAAAACAAAAAAAAAAGAAAAATCAAACAAAAATACAAAAAATATAACCGAAAGAAATAAAAATGTGTATAAATAATCATTGTTTTTAAAAAATAACAAATACTGTCTTGTCGGAAAAAAGGTAATATATAAAAATGAAAAATGAAAACATTGAAACAAATGAAACAATGAAATATCCTTAAAAATCCAATGCATATTTGCAGTGTCTAGTTTTTAGATTGTTTTCAAATTGGTGGAAGCAATGTTCTTTCAGCGACAATCCAAATGCTCAAAAGTGGCGCCTGCGGCGGGCCTGTTTAAAGGTTCATAGAAAAAAAATGGTTGGCAGGCGGCAAGG